GGATGTATCGTATGCCTTGAGTGCTACGAGCCGATACCAATCAGACCCAGGAGAGGCGCATTGGTCTGTGGCCAAGAATATCCTAAAGTACCTGAAAAGGAACAAGGATAAATTCCTGGTCTATGGTGGCTATAATAAGTTGGTTGTTGAAGGTTATACTGACGCGAGCTTCCAGACTGACAGAGATGACTCCAAGGCATAGTCGGGGTACATATTCTGCCTTAATGGAGGAGCGTTTAGTTGGAAGAGTGCTAAGCAGAGCATCACTGCAGATTCTACAACCGAAGCCGGATACTTGGCAGCTTCGGAAGCAGCTAAGGAGGCAGTTTGGATTCGTAAGTTCATTGGTGAACTTGGTGTTGTATCCTCAATCAAGGGTCCAATTGACCTCTATTGTGATAACAATGGAGCTATTGCTAAGGCCAGGGAGTCAAGGGAACAACAGAAGGTCAAACATGTCAAGCGGCGGTTTCACATGATAAGGGAATGGAAATCCAAAGGTGAAATTAGAATTTGTAAGATTGGAACGGACGACAATGTAGTCGATCCTCTGACTAAACCTTTGTCTCAAGTGAAGCACAACAAGCACGTTGAGGCAATGGGAATCAAGCACATTGGAGATTGGCTTTGATTTCCTTGTATAGATGTTTTAATTAAACTCGATGTCTTAATGTAAAACACTATATTGAACCATTCGATTTTGGAGCAATTAATTTTTCTACAAATTTATGATTACTCCATATCTATTTAATCGTGGTTTAGAATTAAATAATGAGTCCATTCGATTTTTGAGAATATTCAAAACAGGGTATCAAGACCATGTCTTGGATAAAGAAACACCTGTTAAGTGAACATTGAATATTTTAATCGAAAATTATCCCTAATCAAGGTCATTTAAATGATGGACGATTAATGACCACTTGAGATTAGTGTGTAGTATGATTTATAGCACCGTTTCTTTTGCTACAAGGACATGATAGTCATAAATCATTTGCACAGGTACTAGTTTGGAACTATACCGGATAGACCTATGAGAATACTTTAAGATATATCAAATCGTCACAAGTATATTTCTCATTATAGCTATCGGAACCTTTTTCCTCGACCATGAGTATTGCAAGTTCTCTTGTTTGAGTACTAGTCGTTTTGATGTTGTTAAACGTCTGCCATAAATGGGGATTATAACGGCAGCACTCAGGCGACTAGGTCCTCTTAGTAAGGGAAGCTTTCAGTACAAGACTGGGAATGTCCCCCTATTAACAATAGGGAATATGTCTTTGTTGTTTACAAGGCCTCTCGAAGAGCGAGGCTATGAAAATGCATGACCGTGCTCAGATGGATTTTAGAAATCATCTGTTTATTAACAGTCAAACTCGGGAATCGAGAAACACTTCTGGACGTAATAAGGATGACGAAAAATTTTACCTTATAGTTCAAGAAGAGACATTAAACGACATAGGAAAAGGGTTGTACACAAATTGCACACTTACCCGAAAGGACAAGTGGGAGATTAAAAAGAATGGTGTCCTCACAACAAGTGTATTATTCCGATAGAGGGTTCAGAATTATTGGAAAGTTAATTCCTCAATAAGGTCAAGTGATCGGAATGCTTAGGTGGAGGCCACTTCCGATCAGTAATATTAATGTACAATTAATATTACAGCTTAATCTTGACTGAACCCTTTAGGTCAAACCCAATCGAACAACCGATCCGAGACGACGAGTCAATTCGAAGATTTTGTTGAGTCGTCAGAGTTTTACGAACAAAGACGTCGGATATCGAGCTTAGAGCGTCGAGACCGATCGTCGCAAGTCGAGTCGAATTTAGAATTCGACGAAACGCGAAATCAATCAAGTTACAAGTTCGAGTTAGGCCGTAGCCTCGCATTGGCCTAGCCATGCGAGGGCTAGGCTATCTCGAGCTAGCATGTGTATCGCAATGCTAGTCGCAAGCCTAGCATGCTAGGCGTGGTAGGCCCATGCATGCTGGCTAGCCACCGCAAGTATCGCAGCCTTGCGTGTGTACTAGCATGCCATGCGCCCAGGCATCGCAAGGCTAGGCCTTGCTAGCATGCTAGGCGCATGCAGCCTCGCACAACATCGCACAGCACCACGCACCAGCCAGCAGGGTGTTGGGCTGTGCATGTGTGTGCGTGTGCCTCGCATAGCATCGCACAGCACCACGCACCAGCCAACAGCGTGCTGGGTTGTGCGTGTGGGTACGTGTACTTAACATAGCAGCGCCCAGCATGCGTAGCTCGCTAGCAGCACGCATGCACTGGCTGGCTGCGCATGCGAGCTCGCTGTGCGTGTGGGATGTTAGCTGGCTGGCCAGGTTGCCCAACTTTGGTGCTAGGCGCCAGCTGGCAGCCAAGGCAGGCTGCCAGCTAGCCACTTGGATGGGGAGAGTCGGTTTGCTAGTGGGGACCAAAGGATGTGAACTTTACCTGGGGAGCAAGGCTATGGTCCCCCCCTAGGAAATGGTCCTCACCTAATCTCTCATCCTCCTTTGGCCACTTGTAACTTATTGATTGAATTGCAATTTTATTTTTGTTTTTAATTAAAATAAAATTGGAAAATTGCAAATCTCCCACATTGATTGAGAGTGGGAATTCAAGGTTCATTTCCCTATAAATATCAAAGTTTTGGGATTTGGGAAGAACACTTGAGTGGAACTAAAAAGGCATCTCCTTAGAAAAGTGAGAAAACCTTAAATTCGTAAAAATCTAGTTTTTATTGGTCGGGTCCCGACTAACCTTCGGGACTTGGATCGTTCGGGTCGGGTTCGTGGGTACGAGCCGTCGGAAACCTTCGCATTTGCGGGGTTCGAGTTTTGAAGTAAGAGATCGGGATTCGAGTGAAGCACGCGCCAAGGGTAAGAATGTCTTTTCCTTCTCTCTCTTAATTGTTGTTTAATTAGTGATTGCATGCTTAGTCGCTTTAATTAGTGTGCAGGTCTTGGGTGGGTTTCTTTTCCGCATAGAGTCGGACTCTACGAAACCCAACAATGTGAAGCTGGGCTTGTTAGCATGGTGGTGCTGCTGGACGTAATGCTTGTTGGTGGTGCTTTCTACAAAAGAGGCAATAGCTTAAGTTGGCAGGTCAGTCTCCTCTCATGAGTTGGTAGAAAGTAATGATTAGATTGGTTTTTCAGGTGAATTCGGGCCTAAACGACAAGGATTAATTGCCATATTTCATGTTTGCTTGTTTTCAACTCTGTATTATCACAATCCAGGTTATATGACCAATATGAGGTTCGTTATACCAGTACTTATCTAGCGTGTTTCTTTAACCAGTTCATATTCTGTTAGCAATACATAGCTCTATGTCACCACATTGACAATTCATTTGTTTGTTTTACATTACAGATAATAAAAAGCTGGAAATTGGTATAGGTAATTAAATATTTTTTTCGAAATTAGCCAATTCCATTTTTTCTTATTCTGTACCTTGATAAGAATTTAGCTGCTGGATCCTATAAATTAACTGATAAAACTTTACTTACCAATGATAAGGCATTGGAGGAGGTTTACTTGTTCTTGTAGTAATATGCATAGCTATCTGGTTCCGGAAGACAAAGCCTGGTCACTCAATTTTCATAGCCCGAAGTGCCTCTCTTGACAGTAGTGCATCAGACCTCGAAAAGGGAAGCAATTCTTTAACGTGCCACTCTTCTCCTATACCCAACTTGTAGAGTGGTAATGGTGGCTTTGTTACTGATTGTGGCTAATATGGACAAGCTGTAAGTTTAGTAATCTAAGTTTGGAAAGTGGACTATAATTGGGGGACAATCCAAATATAATTGTGTTCTGTTATGTATGGTTTCTTTATTTATAGTGCTTCAACTATATTAGATTTTAATGGTCTCACAAAGTTCTGAATTTGGTTCTGTCTCATTGTTGTTTAATTTCAGGCAGCTTGGGTTGCTGGCCAATATGCTCACATTGAATTCTCCGACCAGAACAATTTCCGGAAAGCACATCATAGTGTGGTGGCTGGGCTGCGTGATCCGGAGCTACCTGTTCGTGTGGATTCAGTCTTTGCACTGCGTTCTTTTGTTGAAGCTAGCAAAGGTTCTTTTTGCTTGGTTGCTGAGATCTGTTATATGTATTCACTCTGTTCTTCATTGATGGCATGTCAAGAATACATGTTCTCTTATTTAAATCCCGATTTTGCATGCAGATTTAGGAGAAATAAGTCTCATTTTACCACAACTACTAGATGGTACGTAATATATAGATACCTGGTTCATTTTATATATGACATTTTCATTTACAACCTTTTCATGAGCTTTTGTTCTCGTAGAATTTTCAAACTTATGAACGAGGTTGAGAATGAAGACCTTGTATTCGCTCTGGAGACTGTTGTTGACATATTTGGGGAAGAGATGGCACCTTATGCTTTTGGACTATGGTAGAATTTAGCAATTATTTTTTTAAAATGTTTGACACTTCATATTTAATAAGTGGTCAGTTTAATGAATACTTATCCCTTGTCAGGCTGCTGCATTCTGGAATGAGTACAGTTGAAGCTGACGAGGAGGAGGAGGGTGATGATCCAGGCAGTGCATTGGCGACTGTTGGTTGTTTACGAGCTATAAGCACAATTCTTGAATCTGTCTGCAGACTTCCTCTTCTATTTGGCCAAATTGAGCCTACTCTTCTGCCTATAATGCGGAGGATGTTGACTACTGATGGCCAAGGTCTGGCTTTAGTTTAGCAAGTTCCCCTGAAATTGTTTCATTCTTGATTCTACATTTATATGATTTTAGGTTAAGGGAGGGAAGAGCAGGTGTTCGCGTTTTAAAATAAGAGATATAATTCTCCATTTGTGAACTATCACTCAAGGAAATTATAAATTTCTACAAAGTAAAAGTATATGCAAGAGAGAGAAAGAGAGAGAGAAGTAGATGGTTTGGGCATCACCTACTTTTTATTAGAATGCCATTCATATGGGAAGAGAGAGAAAATAATAAAACAAACTACATTCTAAATTTCTAATTGTACCACTAAAAACTTATAGTTACCACTCATTTATTCAAGTACCATTGGAATTTGGAAGTGTCATTGGTACATCTACGTAGCACTGGAAGTGATGTGATTTGACAACCCAATTTGCCAATATTTACGAAAATGCCACGTTAGGCATTTATCAAATGCACATCAGTTAGCCGCTAGAAATGCCTCGATATGTTGAATATTTTGAAGCTAACTAGGTATTTCAAGAAAACATTTCTGTGAGATAAATGTATGTATTACTTGTGCTAACTGAAAACCAATAAATGTGTGCTCATCTACATTATATAAACAACGATTAAGGCATCGAGCTCTTGCTAACCAAACATTGAACCCCCATTTTCTCTCCCATTTCCATACACAAGCTGAAAATCTTAATTTTATGTAAAGAACCCCAAATTGGTTTACAATAGTGCATCCTCCGAAGAACAAAGCACAACCATTTGCCCTATCACCGTGTTCAACCAATTGGCCTTGTGGATTTCTATCCTTCACACCAAACAAGAGTAGCAATGAATGATCAACTTATGTCTGCTTGCCACTATATACACATTGCTGTTTGAGGCGATTGCAGTGGCTGAACTATGATGGTTTTAAGGCAATACCATCAACTCAGGCATTTGTTCATCATGGTTCACACATTATCTAAATCAGAGTATAACTCATTCTGCAAGATTCCGCCCCTCAACTTGTGTTGATCCCCATACCAAAAAGGTAAGACATTTACCTTGGTAACCCTCCACTTCCCATCATCAGCAATCAGTCCTTCCTCATAACAATGTCATTTAGTCAGAGTGAAGTTTCCTCTTCTGGCACCTTTTGATGTACCAAGCTGCATGCTTTTGAAGCCCCATCCCTATCATCACCTTCAGGCTCACAAGCATCACATAGGTCAACATTGTCAAACATAACATCCAGAAAAGTCTCCAAGCCAGAGGACTGCAGGGAAGACGAGCAGCATATACAGGGGTGAGCACCCTGATGACCTGGTGTTTACAAGTACAAGATAGAAGATTTAGCCAGAGCCCCATACATACTGTGAAAAGATATTCATCAAATAGAAGATATGCAGTCTAGCGCTCTGCCTCTAAGTACATGACACAAATAGATGACAAATACCTATAGGAAGAATTTCCCCAAGGTACAACATAAAAGATAAAGAACTTACTACACAAGCTGGGGCCACAGGAACGAAAGTGAGTGTCTTTTTTTCACCATCAGTCTGAATGTTCAGAGTCTAAAGTAAGAAAAACATAAGCAGTGGTAAGTACAAGAACAATTCAAAATAATAAAAACAATACTAAAACTACACATGCGGATATAAAATCTTAAAGATTAAGGCCTTATTTGGAGATGGGATATTTGACAAGATGGTAATTTTGTAGTTTTGTACCAACTATTGCCTTACTTTTTAGTTCTTAATACTTTCTATCTTCAACCGTCACAGAAAGTTCACACTTCACTTTCTTGCATTTTTGGCAAACCTCTTGTACCCCATACGTCCATACCCCATCTTACCCCACAATGGTATTACCTTCTTCGTCATTTCTTAGCAAAGCATCTCTCAGTACCTTGTCATACACTTCTAGATTAATAAAGCCCATGTGTAGGTCCTTCTTTCTTGCACTATAGTACTCCATTTTTTGTCTAATAGGGTGAATAGCTTCTATTGTAGATCATGTGGCATGAATCCAAACCAATTCTTCGAGATACTAGCACATTTTCTCATTTTATATTTTATCACTTTCTCATAACTAAAACAACCAAATAAGTGGTGAACAGTCCCTGTCCTGCTGTGTATCAGTGAGGAAAGAAAAAGGATGAAAAGCTAAGGAAGTTATCAAGTTCCGCTGGTCAATATTCTAGTGGTCAATGTTTAGAAGGCATGAGGTACAATTCATACTTAGGCAATATGAGTCCTGGAGTACAGGCTTGAAACAAGAGGTGAAGCAAGGCCAATAATGTAGAATAACACACAATCTCCCAGTTTACATGCATGCACGATCTGCAAGATAATAAAGCAAGTAGTGTACCTGTTTGCAGAGATCTTCAAGAAACTCAGAGTACACAATGGGTTTTATGTCATTAAATTTGGCAATAAATGAATGCTTAATGACATCAACTGCCATTTCGGAGAAATAAACCAAGAGAGCATTCTGTCAAAAGTAGCACATTCAGTAAGTTAAAAATAAGGTCAGTAAAATGGACACTTGTTTGTAAATTAATTAAGTGAAAAGTAATCTTCAAACTCACTGAAAAGAAATTTCCGAACCATGGACCCTCAGCTTCCTGAATATTTTGTGCCAAAACAAATATGACAAATGCTGTGATATGGAACCTCTCAATTGAATCTGATCATGTAAAAGAACAAAGGAGACACAGTAAGTACCATCAGAAATCAGTTATCAGTCACATCACAACCACCTAAATCAAAAGGGAGATGCAGTAAGATTATTTAATAACAGCAATAATATTCATTGCTGCATTTAAATTAAAATGTTACATTGACTACTAGATTACACTTGCTCATTGGATCTTATTTTAAAAATATTTGTTTAAGCTTCTGAAAATTTCACTTTTTCTTTTTTACCCAAAAGACAATAAAAGAGAAGAGAGTTAATTGATGGTTACTGATAGTAGCAGAAACAATGCTTACCAGAGTATACAATGCTATGAACATTATCTTTACTGAATCTCTTGAACACATTGCTTTTGATCTCTGCAAAATTATTTGAGACTAGAAGAGCAAGTAAAGCATTATTATGAGCCACTATACAGGTTGACAAGGTTATTGCCTGAGCTAATAATATAAAAGAATGAACAAGTAAAAATAAGAGTCAAGGAACCCAACAAAACTAGAAGTACAACAATAATTTCAAGAGCAAACATATATATTCAATATGAAGGATATTTGAAGCAGCTGCAGCCAACAATAAATCAATGGTATATCTTTCCAGCCAATATCTTGATAACTCTGGTGAAGAACATGCAAACCCCTCAGCAGTATTGAATAATGTCTGAAACACATCACCTCCAAAACTTTGCCATAGTTTATCAAATATCTGCCATGGATATGAAATAAATAAAATTTGTCAATACCTACAAAAATCAATAATGTTAAGCAACAGATGCATTTACAAAATGAGCTTAGATATGCAATGCCACATTCACAGATGCATTCTACTACCCCCTCCCCACACCAGAATGAGCAGTAGGAAAAAGAAACATATCAAAAGCAACACATACAACAATCTTGGTTTTGGATCGAAAGTGCCAACAACAAAACAAATATGCCGGAACCATCAGTACATCACCTATTATTACAAACTATAGTCATAAAGTAGAGTGGAAGAAAGCCTTATCAGGAAGTCATACTAGAATAAATCTAGTTGGTGTGGAAGGAGAGGCAGATAATTCTATAGATCTCATCCATCAAGCATGGGAAACGTTCTTCCCCAGCTGTAAGTTTTGAAACATTCAAGTATGGGTATGAAATGCCAGAAAACCCAAGCTGGAAAACAAAAGGCTTCAGAAAAGGGATGCTGGAATGAAGTTTAAAACAGGCATAATGGCCTTATGTGTGTTTACTACCCAGCAATGTCCAGCCAAGGTACAAAATTAACTGAAAACCCTAGCTGCTGAAAAAGTCATATAGACCTGTTTCACTTTCTGTCCAAGTCTTGGTCTCTCTAAGGTGCACACAATAAGAAACGATTTTATCTAGCAGTAAGGTTGCCATTCTCATCTTTCCTTACTCTCGTATTATAAAAAGCTTCCCAATGAAGAACCCACCCACCTCCCACAATGGCGAGCTCATCAATCTCATTTTCATGGGATGCCTCCGCATGTGAAAACCCCAAAAACTGTCAATATAGCATACAGGTACTAGAGGCCAAACACCATAACAATTGAAATGTTAAATAATAATGGGAAAGAGACACAAAAATGAGGCTCTCATCCCACACATCCTGAATGTGTTACCCAGGATGAGGCTCCCATCCCACAAATCCTGAATGTTTTACCCACACAAAGTGCAATGACTAATCTTGAACCTAACAAGCGGCAAAAAAAAAACCTGAGAATTAATTTTTCATGCGCAAGCATATGTCACAATGTCACTGTTTCACCACACAAAGCATCTCACCTGTTTTATAGTAGCCCATATTGACTTTGGCTATATGAGTGAGTACCAGTAGGTTTTAAAATAGATATATCTATCTTATATTTTTCTCCTTCACCATTACTCTCATTTCATTCATAAAAATGATCCAACTATTTTCTCATCAGATAAGGCTTAAAATTTTCAAATTCCAAGCAGAGTAATATATAAATTTAATAACTTTTCCTTCATTTTATTCAAGATATTTTTTCTGTACTTTGTTTCTAAGTTTTCCCTGTTTATTAGTCATTGCACTTTGTCATTTTCTTGTTTCAATTTCTGTTGTCATCAGTAGTATAGAATAATAATGGGATGAAGTCATGAAATTAATTAGACTGGTTAAGTACAGAACAAAGAAGAAAGAAACAGAGAAGAGAAAAAAGATATAGACAGAGTGAAGCAACAATCTAGAGTAGGAATCTTAATTTATCATTATGATGCTACCATTATCAATCATCAATGATCATACAAAGTTACAAATATCCATAGCTGCAGGCAACCATGATTTATACAAGTAATAAGTTACTTCCAGAAAGAAATAAAAGAGACTTGAAAAGAAAGGACCTTACTATAACAACAAAGCCTTAGCCTCAAAATGATTTGGGGTTGGATAACATGAAATGTCATAAGGAACCGACCGAAAAGCATAAGGGGTATAGAAAAATAATTGATCGAATAAAAGTTGGAAAAAAGTGTGTAAAGTGAAAAACAGAAAGAGAATACAAATAAAATTTATTAGAGTTTTAAAAAAAGTGGTAAAGGGATAAAAAAAAATTATAAAAAAAAAAAACATACTTGATTTCCTCTTACTCTTTCTAAGTCATTCATTAAAATTATGACGATTGATTCCATTAAATAGAAAAGACAGAATTCGTTTATAGTGTAATTGGTCACTTGAATTTCATTAGAAATTCTGGAATTGGATTAATCAAGTGTTTGGATGATGAAGAATTTCAAATGTAGAATAGGCCCAATTCCAAACGCAATCAATAAGGCTCATGGCTTTGAAATTACAATTTTTACAATGTCATTTGAAATTACTATACTCCTCTACAACATACAGCCCAACCTAATTCTACAAGCCCACAGCTCAAACCTAAAACACAAACTAGGATTTCAAATTCCCTCTCAATCTCTCTTTCCTCTGCGGTTCATACCCCCAATTTCTCTCTCTTAAAGAGTCGTATATATTAATGCTTATCGACTTTGAGAAAAAGCATGAGAGAATGAAAACGGTGTATAAGAATGTGTGGATTGGAAGCTATTATGTTAAAATTGAAGAAGAAGAAGGAATTAAGCTTCTTTTTATTTTATTTTTATTTTTGAGGTCATTGTGAATTTTTGAAAATCATTTTCTTCATCACTTAAAGAATCAAATATCAGAAGATCCAATGTACCATTTTTTTTGTTTGAATTTTACTTTTTAGTGTTGATTATTATGGTTTTGGAGTTAGTTTTCCTAGTCATTAACGTATTTAAAATATTTCGGAATTATATAATTATTCAGTGGTTAGGAAGTATTTAACTTTAGTCAAAGTTTAAATTTCTTCCAAAATAGCAGAGGATCTAAAATAATGGATTCAGAATTCTTGTAATTTCCAAACAGGTTATTTGGAATCAAAACTCAGAATTTGAAATCAGATGAAGAATTTGAAATCAAATCCTGGTATCCAAAGTCCAAACACTACCTTAACAAATTGCAAAAGGGAGTAAGTACATCAATCAAATTTTTAGAGCATTTATAGGACTCCTACATGAGTTTTGGCAGCCATAAAGACTGGAGAAATCTATAGCATTCAGATTCTTTGCTGATATTGTAAGAGATTCTGTATTGATGAATTATAAAATTTCTGAGTCAATGTTTCTAAGCAAGACTTCATAATAGATAGGGTACTTATCCTGACACCTCTTTTTCCTCAAGCCAAAGGCCTACTGGATTTCTACAAGTGAAGGCCAAATAGATTGGCAATTTGGCATAATTTCAAGTAGTATATTAGTATTCCCTCCATTCCATGAAAGTTCTTATTTGCCTTTTATGCAGTCTGCGATGCACACATTCGACCATTAATGAGAATCATGGCCCGACAAAGCAGGGCTGACAGTAACATAAAGATTTGAATGAGTTGACTACGTGCTATTTCTATATGAATAAAATTATGAAAAGTTGATACATTTCACATAATGAATTCAACAAGATCCTACATGATATTATTATTTCTATACAAGTATATAAGTTACTAAAGGTCAAATTTTCTTATCTTTGACTACATAAAAAGTGAATAGGAAGAATACTATGGAACAAGAAAGTATAATATACCAATTAGAAACACATTGCTCCAGTTCTGCACATCACAAAAAGGGAAATCTAAAAGAAAAGACAAAAGAACCTTGAGATAGGAACTGTCTTCAAATCTTCAATGCAGATATCTCTGACTATAGCTTACCTCTAAAACATTATAGACAACATAAAGCTTGATAATTCCTTGACCACGAATCATATGGTATATGAGGCTTATATCTGAAATATTATCAAAGAAGGAAATAAGTTCAAAGATTAATGAAATAAAATCAAGTTACAAACACCAGATTCCTTCACAAAGTCCAATAGAAAATGTTATGCTTAATATATCAACATAAAAGCCTAATTCCCAAAATATTATGCTGCACTCACACACGCACACACGAGAGAGAGAGAGAGATGAACTTATAGTCATACCTGTCCTCCCCAAAAGCGTAACTCCAACAGCTAGAACAAAGAGACAACCAAAATCTGACAGCTCTGCAGCAGAAGGTGTTTTGGGCTGCCTGCCACAAACATGATTATCATGTAAATATAAGGAGCTACCAATACATCAAACCAAGGAAACTATAAACTATAGTAGTATTCATTAGTGATTGTGAACCACAAGATTGCAACATCCTATATCACCAGTTATATCACCACCTATGGCTATAAAACAAAGTCCTTGAAAATGCTCTGAAACCATTGGGTTTGGACAAAAACCATCAACCTTATCAGCTTTCTGTGGTTGTTTACTACTCTGGATACCAAGATTGTCATCAGAATCTTGTATTAGCAAAGAACAGTGTACTTCTGTGCTTCTTGGAGAATCCCAATAGTTTGCAACTGAATGGTAGATATCTCAGATGCAGGAGATTCCTAGATTTTTTGTTTTTCCCCATCACTTATCCTTGACCTCAAAGTAAAAAGAGATTTCTCCAGTTCCGTAAACAATCATCCCCCTATAAGAAACTTCAATCATCAGCTGAACTGGCATCATCATTCTTTTTAATTCCTTTGCCCAAATTTCTGCTGGATTAGGGCGAAGGTATTTAAAACAATGAGTGTTGACCCTTCTAATCAGTAAATAAGAAAATCGCCCCTTACAAACCAAATACATCCGACCAAGAGGGAGTTTGGGCATTTTCACACCTGACCCCAAAGTTACACTAGCGGCAGAGAACGGGTAATTCAGAACAAGTTCAGTTCAAGGTGACAAGTCATTCATTCCCTTTTAGGCCAGTTCGAGTCATCTACAGGTCTACATCCTATTATGATAGTGTGATAATCTAATCAATATCTACCACATTAACTTTTAGATCAAATTAGGTGGGTTTGGGTTTGGTTAATTATGGTTATGTCACACCCTTAGAGCAGGCATGCACTTGAGCACCTTATTAGTTACTTAGCTGTCTTTGATTCACAAACAACCACAAGAACCTTACAAAAATGAAGCAATGGTAAGCAACAAACCTTTTACTAAGTAACCTCCATAGGGTTGCCAGAGCTCTCATAGGTATTATAGTCAGCAACGACAAAAACGAATTCAAACAGACGAAGAAGCCCACGTCAATAAGCTGCCAAAAAAACAAATGTATTCTAAAGGATCCATCAAAGCTTTAAGTAAACAAGTAAAACATAATCTCTTCTACATCAATAAGCCCACAACTAATAGTAAAAAATTTCTTCCCTGAAAAGATACAATTTAAATTGGATAAGGAAATGGGAATGACAACCAATGCATGAAATAAACTAATGAGTTAGCAATAAGGAAGATGAAATATAGATAAGATCCTAGTAGCATCAATGAGCTTCTTAAATTCAACAGAGCACGCTTGAGAAACTTAACAAGAAACCTCACCATCAATTTGTGCAAAATACTAGAACATATTTAGCAATCATTGAGCTTTAATTCACAGCATAAAGCTAATAGTACTACTTAATAACTAACGCAATATGGGATTGGAATGTAGTGAAAAACTCATGCTATAGCACTTAAATAATGTTAATATAACAAGAACAGCATGCATCACAATACACATGAAGCAACATAAAAAATGACTTTCTCCAACATAAATACAAAGAAAGAGAAGCATAACAAATACCAGTTCACACCTCCATGGCAAGCGGAAGATAGTGTCATAAACTCTCTCTCTTTCTTTCTCAGTTCCTCGTGTCGTTGTGCTTCTAATAGAATTTCCATTGTGCATTTCTTCCATGAAGAATTTTATTGGTGAATTTTCCACAGGAAAAGGATCTAGAGTATAGTGAAGGAGACGAGATAAAAAAAATCCATGATTATAATAAAAAAGACATACCCCATCCATCACATAATAGGTATCTCATTAAAGCCTTGAGTTTAAAGCAGCATGAGAAAGTCACAACTAAGATATTACAAATTTACAATTAAATGAAACTAAACTATTCAATGGAATATTACAAATTAATTAGTAATTCAATTTTCCAGACGCTTTAGGAATTGTAAAAAAAAAAAAAAAAAAAAAAAAAAAAAAAAAAAAAACCAACTAATTGTAAAGGAATTTTAGCATTTTTACAATTAGTTCATCAACCTTGAAATTTATTTTTGACATCCCCATTTGAAAAGAGATTATTATCATAATCTAAAGGAGCTACCCAACTAAAGATGGCTGTCTTCAAGTCAAGCCCGTGTCTCTTAGAGCTCGCAGGCCCACTAGTCAAAATTTTCAAAAGGGCAGTCTAAGCACAACCCAAGTCCACATGCCACCATGTTGTACTTGTGCATATAAGCCGAATTTCACTAATAATAACATGTTTTCTTAAACTATAATTCTTGTTACCTTAATTGGAAAATTTACCTAACCCCATTCATTCAACCCATATGATAAGGGGCCCACCACTATGTCACCCTCATTATCTCTCTTACAAATTATGTGATGTGAGACTCTCCACTAGCTTTTCCTCAATCACATTTTCACACTATTTTCAATATATACCAAAAAAGACTAGACTAACCTACAATCTACTCTTGATATGTGTACCTAAGCCTAAGAGGACAATAATTTGAGGATGGAGGAAGTAACACATCCACACAAAAGAATGATCAACAAGCCCACAACACCATATGAAAGCTTGGACAAACTTTTTCAATATATGCTCTATTGCAGAAAAACAAATAGAAGTATTTCAACCAGACATCAGGCATGAGAAGCATCTAGGTAGAGAGACTAGGAATCAAGCTCCTTTGAACCAAAAAAGGCTGACATTACTCCGCAAAACTGCTAATTGGAAGGGACTTTGGTGCGTGAAATCGGACAAAAATTAGGCCAATTTTGGCTCTTTTGGTACCCTATAATACAAGGAATTCACCTCTACAGGGATTAAGTTGCTAGAAAGAAAAAAAAAATGCTCATAACTTTGAAGCCATCTAATAAGAAATTTGCTACCATGAGTGATATCACTCTAAGAGAAGACCATGCTACCAGCATAGCCACCACAAGTAGTATAGATACAACTATACAAGTATGAAAGACCCTCTCTTTGCACACACATCCTACACCATTGCTAATTTTATCATGAAATTGGCTAGGCCATCTCTACTCAATAAATAGTACAATTATCCAACAAAGAAGAATAGCATTAGAGTACCAAAGGTTTGCAAAGTGCACGTCAAGCAAAGAGTCTTACAAATAGTGTCATAACAAGATATCTTAGCAATAGTGTAGCAAGATATTGAACTCATTGACCTATGGCTTAATGTGAAGAATTAAAGTACGCACTAAATGCCAGCACATTGCAGTGAAAATGTAGAGAAAATGCATTTGATTGGAAAGGCTTATATTAGCAACCCAAGTATATTAGGTAACACACCAAAGTTTTTGAAAAGAAAAATAAGCTATCTATTAAAAAACATAGCACAGAGCAAGAGCATATCATTGGAGAAGGAAGTTAATTTCAATTTTAGTAAGCAATATTTTTTTTAATCAGATTCTCGTCTGCATTGCTATAAGGATGATTACCTTTCTTTGCTGAAAATCTATAAACTACTTCAAGTCAACCCAATGATAGAGGAAAAATACAAGCTGATGAAAGCTAACAAGCATAAAAGCAGATCAGAAACATTACATGACTTCATTTGCATATGGATATTGTTAGTATCACACGAAGCGATAAAAGATGACAGCCTGATGCGTGTGCAAGACAAGCATAAAGATCATGTCAACATGCAAGACGAGCTAAAATTTGCAAGAGAAATTCAATGTATATGCAACCTTTGAATATATAATTAATCTAGCACATCATGAATTAGAGCAAAATTCGGAAGTAAAAAGCTTCCAAATTTAGGTGTATCTCATGGAATGGACTCAACAAAGCTGCTAATCACGAATGTAAAAAAAAAAAAAATTAAAAAAACAAAAACCAAAAAGTTGGAAATGGTGTCGATCACTCGATCAAACTCCTTTAACCCTACAGCTCATCATAGCTCTAAAAACTACAAATTTAGACTGCGAATTGACGAAAGCAATTTCAACTTACTAGCAAGAATCTCATTAGGTTATCAACTCTAACAAAATCAACAATGCATCACTTGAATAAAACAAATACTTGTATCAATTATCAAAATAATTCTAGAGGGCGAATTGACTATCGCGATTTCAATTCTACTAGCAAGCATCTCATTAAGTCTTGGTTCAGCTCAAACAATATCAACAATGCACCACTCCAAATAAAACAAATACTTGTATCAATTACCAAACAATTCAAAAATTAGAACTCTAACTAATCACTACCAAGGACATGAAAAGCCAAATTGAAGTAAAATTCTTACAATTAGGATCTTCTTCTGCCATAAATCGGCTCCAATCCAAAGACTCTGCAGTATCCAACTTCCCATTAACAAGATTAGGTCTCGAATTTGAATTCGCCTCGGCTTCCGATACCTCTACTACCGGAATTGAATCTCCGCCACCACTTCCGCCACTACTGAAACTTCTCTGCCGTAATTCCCCCTGCGAAACCTGGCAAACCGTACTCAAACTCTCTTCTCTCATCTCACAAACCACGAAACTCGGCGCCGAATAACTGTGTGAAGTCATCGACGGCTCCTCCTCCAATACGGCAACACCACCATCACCACCATTTTCAAAGATGGTGTTGAATTCAAATGGTGATGGTGAATTAGGGGTGGATTTCTTCCGCTTTCGCTTCCGCCTTCGGCGATTGGACTTGTTGTTTTGAGGCAAAGGATCGGAGTATGAACGATCGATAATGGTATCATCGGAGTAGACTGGAAAATTGGAAGAAAGGATCTCAAAAGAAAGCTGTTTTCCTTTTGCTTTCAACGCCATTGAAGAAATTGGCTGTTGAATTACTCAATTGTTTGTTTCAAATCATCGAATTCTTGAACAGAAATTGTTTCGAAAAGTGCAAGAAGATCAACCAGAGAGAAGTGTCGAGCAATCGTTGGTTGGGTGGTGCGCTGCTGAGTGCGGGCGGTTGGCTGTTTGGGCGCGAGAGAATGAGTTGTAGTGTGGGTGCTCAGGTGGGATTATTAGTTTACTACGGAGTAGTGCACTAGTCCCCGCCGAGAATTGGTCGGACGAGCCAATCTCAACTCTCAAATCTCAATTCAAGGCAATTTTTATGACTATTACTTTGTTAATTGGGAAAATGTTACGTTTCTATTAGAGGTGATCATTACAGGCCGGATCGGAGCATTTTTTTTTTTTTGAACGGGTTTAGGAATGCGTTTTTATGTATATTTAGTTGATTTTTTAGGCCCGGTCTGAAAATCTCGCACGGCCCGACCATTTTAGGCGGGTTTGAGCACAAAAAATCCGGCCGGAAGCTTGGCCCGGCCCGACTTGAGAAATGGGCCAAACCTAATTTCGGGCCGAAAAATTCTGCCCAAAATCGGGCCGGGCCATACTTGATCAGCTCTAGTTTCTTTCCCCCCACCCCCACATGGATAAAAGGATTAAGGGGTCGTTTGGTTCGCCCAGGGGAATCGGAATGAAATGAACAAAGGGAATGAAGGAGAAAGGAATGGATTGACCCTGATTTAGCCAGGTTGTTTGGTTGTGTCCAAGAAACGGAATGAACTGCTCATTGATTTTTTTTGTGACTGTTTGGTTCAAGCCATGAGTCAAATTATGAGTTTTTAAATTTTTTTAATTTTTTTCCAATAGTAACCTGTTATTATATGATAAACTTGTTTTATGAATTTACCTTATCTTCATGAAAGGAGTATGATAATTCATGAAAACAATTTGAAGATTGGTATATTAAACCAGAAATCATCCAATATTAAAAAAAAAAAAAAAAAAAAAAAGGTAAATTCCATGAAAAAAAACGTATAATTCATGAAAAAATTGAAGATTGGTATATTTAAACAAGAGATCATCCAACATTAAAGAAAAAAAAATAAAAATAAAAAAGGTAAATTCATGGAACCACTGTTCGTCATTGCCAAAAAAAAATTAAAAAAATTAAAAAAAAAAAAAATCAAACCCTTGACAAACGACAGCACTAGTATCAATTACACACCATAATTCAACAAAAATAGGAATAAAGTGTAGTTTCCTCAACAATTCATGAAAAAAAGGAAAAAAAAAAAACTTGATTAAGGTATAAAACACGAAGAAAAAGGAACAAGAACATGACGAAAGATGGTCGGAGATCGTCGTTGGTGGACGTACATTGTCAGAAGCAATCGGAGAACATCACTGGTGCATGCATATCGGCGATGGGAGGGCGATGGCGGCGACATTTTGGTGAGGGGCGGCGACGTTCCGGCGAGAAGTGGGTGAAGGTGGCTAATGTGGGTATGGTGGTTGTTGGGGAAGGGGAATGGGAAAGGCTAGGGGGGTGGGGAAAGGGAGTAGAGGGTTTTTAGGTAATCAAAGGGGAAAGGGAATGATAGAAATGGAAAGAAAAACAACAACAAAGGGAATGATTTCCATGGATTCCCATTCCCTTTGGTTATTACTGCGAACCAAACGGCTAGAGTGAGAGATAGTTGGTTAAAAGGATTAATTAATTAAGGGTTTTTTTACACAGTAACCTCGTTTTTTTCACTTTTCTACGCTGTGACCTAACATATATGACTTTCTACGCTGTAACCCTAAAGTACAAAAAGTCACTATATTGTGAACTCGTCGTTAACTTGTCGTTAGTTGCTTCCGTTAAAATGAAAAAATTAAACTTCTTCTTTTTTTTTTTCATTTCCCCTTCCCCTTTCCCTTCTTCCCTCCATAACCACCAGAGCAGACTAATCGCGACCACCCTCAATAGCTAGCCCCCTCCCGTCAGCCACCCCTCCCTCTCCATTTCCAACGACCCCACCCCCTCCACTTCCCCCACCCAAAAACCGGCCCCCTAACCCTAAACCACCAGCCCGAAACCTTCCCTTCCTCCCCCCTCCCTTTTCCAATTTCCGACCACCCTACTCCCCTGACGCCCCTCACTCTCCCCAGCCGTCTTTATCCCGTCCTTCCCTACATCTACCCCCGAAACCCAGGCCACCCCTTTATCTATGAAACCCAGAATCCAAACACACAAAATCCAAAACCCAGATTTGCGTGGTTGGGGTTCTTGTATTTGAGGGGGGTCAAGATTTAATTTCTTTGGTTTCGAGGAGGGTAGGTGGGGTTCAACGGTGTGATTTGCGTGGATAAGCAGGCTGGAAAATGCTACTCCGTGATGTTTTTGGGTGGGTTGCCAGGAAATTGAAATTGGGGGTGGCCAGAAATTAAGAAGGAATGAGGTGAAGGGGGAGCAGGGGAAAAAGGTTGGCAGGGGAAGGGCGGCCGGAAAGGGAAGTACGAGCGGGGAGGTGAGCTGGCCGAAAATGGAGGGGCTGAATTCATGAAGAGGGGACCGATGCCGGTGAGGGTAATGCCGATGCCGGTGGGGAAGGTGGTGGAGCTGTCAAATTTGAGAAGGGAAGGGGGTGCGCTGGTCGGAATTTGGTAGGGAAGGGGGTGGGGTGGTCGGATTTGGGAGAGGAATATGGTGGGGCTGCCGAATTTGGGAGGGGAAGGCGGTGCAGTGGTCGGAATTTGGAGGGGAAGGGGATGAGCTGCCAGAATTAGGCAGTGGGAGAGGAAGAGGTGGCTGGAAGGAGGGGGAGGGTGGTGGTAGGATGTATAGGGATTGTGGTTGGTGGGGAAGGAGTTTTTTTTTTAAAATTAATTTTTTTATAAATTAAATATTTTTTTTAAAAGAAATATGTTAACAGAAGCAACTAACGGCAGTTTAACGGTGAGGTCACAATGTAGTGACTTTTCGTACTTTACGGTTACAGCGTAGAAAGTCATATATGTTAGGTCACAGAGTAGAAAAGTGAAAAAAAAACGAGGTTATTATGTAGAAAAACCCATTAATTAAATTAGAGTGAGAGATAGCTCAATTGGTTAGAGTTTCCCTTCTAATTTTAATTGATTTTAGGATCAATTCTCATCACTAGTCCACGGAGGAAGTACATATATTTAATCAACTCCCCTGATGAAGCCATGAATGAAAGGTGGGTCACGATCAGAGCAAGGAGGAAGATGATGTTTTTCTTCTTTTCAAAATGTGATATAATTACAATTTTGCCTTCGAGATAAATAGATCCATTTATCACAGAGAGAAACCGGGGCTCCCTCGTTTTTTTTAAGTGCTACACTTTGACTTTTTTCACTATTCTCATATTGATTTTGACTTGACTCTTTAACCAATTCATAAAACACAAATGTTATATATTATATATTTGAAGAAATCATAATGTATACATTCATATTATCAATATTCTTATAATTTTTACTAGCATATAATTGAAAAAACAATGGTCATAGTCGTGTCTTGGTATGCATGTTTAGTCAAAGTGTAATATATAAAAAAAGAAAAAATTCAGATAAAATATTGTACAAGTGTTGCATTTTGAATATGTCTCCCAAGGGAATATACACCCCTAAGGAAAATGCCAAAAATCCCCAAAACAAGTTGAGTTCCCCCCTCCCCCCAAATTCTCATTTATGTCATCCAAAGCAGTGAGAGCAGAAGAAAAATTGGGGGCTTTGAGGGTTTTGTTAGGTGAGGATGTTGAAGTATTTCGAAATTCAAACCACACGGCTTGCTTAAGTTTTGGAAACAATGGGAAGCGGCTTGGCAATGTCATCGACCCGAGCAAAACGCAATAAGATAGATCGACCTCTTCTTCTTATTTTATCATGAATGGATGAAGAAATAAGCAAGTCACTATAATTCTTTGGTTGAGAAGGAAGATGATATGGATGTCAACTTCAATTTAGGGTTTGTTGTGCTTGTTGTGCACAATAGAAAAATGTAGAAAATACAGTGTATTGAAATGAGAGCAAAAAGAGAAAAAAAAGGCATTAAAATAAGGAGGGGTATTAAATGACCAAATGAGGGTAGGTCGGTAAGAGTGGGTAATAGTTTATAATTTCCCATAAGTAGGCGGGCCATAAGAGAAGGGAGAGAAATTGACTTTACTTAAAATGGTAGTATAGCAATTAATTAGAATAGGATGTTAAAGAAAAATATTGTGATTATTCTTAAATGGGTGAGTAATTATTTTCACATTGAACTACTCGTATTTAATTTTTTAAGTTTAATTGGATTGGGGGTTGAGTATATTTGGTTTGTTAGATTTGTAAATATTTAATTGGTTTGGGCTACAATAGTTACAATTTGTAAGGAATTAATTTTATTTGTGGTTGATTTTAAACTAGATTTTTAAAAACTGTTTTTCTTTTGCTTATCTTTGATAAACGCCTTAATTGATATCATGCTTGTAGTAATAGCTTATTAATCGTGTTAAAATGTATTATTGAAAGCAGTTTTCAAGTTAAAAAACCATTAGAGTGTTACAAAGTGAATCTAGGAGTTATTGGAAACACATGAAGTCATGTATATTCTGATTTCATTTGTGGTTTGGGCCATAATAGTTCCAATTTATAAGGAATTAATTTTATTTGTGGTTTGGTTTTAAGCTAGATTTGTGAAAAACTATTTTTCCACTTCTTATCTTATCTTTTGATAAACGTCTTTTCATCATCACACTGACCGTAATAGCTTATTAATTTTGTGAAATGTTTTATATAACGCAATTTTTAATTAAAATGAACTATTAGGGTATTACAAAGTAAAATCTAGAAATGCCAAAGTAAAGGTCGATTGAGGGCGATTAGGCACTCATGACTCATGAGTATTTCTTTGATCCTTTCCACTTTTCATCTCCAATCATATCCTAATCGTATACTTTTTAAAGTGTTGCTTTTGATGGCTTAATCATTTTGATTTATGCATCGGGTTTACAAGTTTATTTACAAGATTTGTTAGTGGCTCCATACTTTATCTTTTACAAACTTTATGCCACACATGTATGTTTTTAACCCGCATAGACAAATTTTCATGCCTACAATAAATTCTCCCGATGATGAATTAGAATGAATTATCACTTCTTTGCCTCAAAGAACCCTAATAGATACAAACACATTCTTAACTACCAAACCTTAAGAGAGATGAAAGTTCCATTAATCTAAGATACCATAGGCGAAATCAATTGTATCCAAGTGTCAAAAGAGAACAAGCGTCAAAAGTAAATCCTGCACAAATCATGATAAATCTGTATATGAAATCCTAATTAGTGTTATTTTTGTACGTTAATTAGATCATCGTAAAACACAAACACAGTATGGTTCAGCTTCGTGCGTGCCACTACAAATGAGAACTAAATATAATTAGCTCTTGTTTTGACATGACCAACAATATCACTTGTTGAAGCACATAAATACACTGACATAAAGCAATTACTTATGCAACATTCACAACAAGTTCCATAGTGCAAAGCTAATATAACGATTTATGTTCAAAGCATCTCCAAAGACATACATTTTGGTTACAATAACTCTTACACTAATTGGCAATTTACCACCATGCACAAACAATGAGGTGAGCATATAAGGGATTAAAAAGTGAATAAACCCAAATCTTTTATAAAAAACGACACTTATACATAAGAATATCATTACTTGATGATGCTCGGTCTATTAGCATGTTGTTTACATCTGGACAAACGACTTCTCTTGGGCACTTCTGTGGTTAGTGCATACATCTTTACCGGAAAGAGTTCTTTAGGAAAATCTCTTTGATCCTGAAATAAGAAATTCAAATAAGAATGATATTTGATATGGTTTGGTTTTGTTTTGTTTTTGGGATTTTTTTTTTGTTTTTTATTTTTTTTTTTAATTTTTTTTTATTTTTTATTTAACATGGTTCCTATACAAAATCATAATTAGGTTACGTTAACCACACTTTGAAATTTCCTTTGATCTTGCAACAAAAAGTTTCATTGCAATTATACTAAAATAAAATTAATATCCCACATATTCCAATACACATATAGTTCATCCATGCACCATACAATTCAGTACGAGTTAAAACCTAAATTGCTGAAACTTTTCTTATCAGTTACAAACATCAATAAAACCTTCCTACAATGAGGCAAGGTTCAACTTCAATGCTAAGATAAGACAAACAAATCAACTTATGAATATAAATTGAAATTTCATCTTAAGAAACTTATGGATATAAATTAAAATTTCTTCTTAAGAAAGATCCTTGTTTATCTAAACTTAAGCAAGGCTAGAGCTTATTTAAAAATTTAAATTAAGCTCAGCAAACATGCAAATCTTCAATTGCTTAATGCAGAGTACCATGAGGAATGTGTATAAAATAGTCTTGGTAGTCGTGGAAACCATTAAAAATCACAAAACACATCTGGAGTCCCAATTACCATAAAACATTTTAGGTATCGAACAATGAAATTTCCAATGACTACTTGAAAAGATGATTTTATTCTATGTTAAGCATGAGGGTATGTGAAATTGTAAATAATACCTTAATTTTATAGAGATGAAGCCCAGACTTTTTGAAAAGTTCCTTGTAATATAAATCTGACCTTGTTATGCTGCAATCATCCTTATCTAACACAAATCCTGAAAGCAAGCAACACAAAATTTCACTTAAAAACTCAATGGACTATGTGAAGCCACCAATATAATGAGGCAAACCAGCTTTTTATTAATAGCCCAA